TCCAGCCGGCGCGGCCGAAGAAGAGCTTCGTGCTGGGGTCGCTCCAGATGTTCCCCTCCAGCGCGTTCGGCTCCACCCGCATCCTCGCCGCACCACCCTCCCCCTTTGCCTCGCTCACCTTCTCCTCCTCCCCCTTCATCTTCGTCTTCTCCTTCGTCTTCTCCTTCTTCTCCCCTTTCCCTCTTCGCTTGGTCGTGGCGGCCGCTTCGTCGCCGACGGCGGCGTCGGCTTCGCGGTTCCAATCGAAGAGGGCCATGCTGCGGCCGTGGTAGAGGCCCGGGTAGACCTCCTCGGCGGGCGGGAGCGAGGTCGGCTCGGCCTTGCTGAGCCAGTAGAGCTCGGACAGACCCACGGGGCCGCCGTAGAAGGCCTTGAAGTACTTCTTCTCCGGCTCCTTGTCATCCGCTGGCCGCTTGGTTCGCATAAACAAACGGCTCTCTGTAGGATGCAGGGCAAAGCTTAACAACACCGCACACGCAGGACCGCACACGCACACACAGCACACACGGGGTACCTGGTCGGTTGATGACGGCACCGGAGGCGCCGGTGAGTGGCGAGTGGCTGAGCACGAGGATGACGGTGTGCTGCCAGAAGGGGTCGAGAAGCAGCGGGTGCGGCACCAGCAGCATGCCCGGCCGCACATCCGCTAGCGAGGCCGCCCGGGCGTAGGGTCGCAGCCGTGGTGGCGCAGCTTCAGGGACCGTCTCGCTGCTGCTGGGATCGTCTGGCCTCATCGTAGACTGAGCCTCAGCTGATGATGACGATGGTGATGTGGTTGTCGGCTCGGCTTGTGGCGTGTCTGGGCCTGTGCGGCCGTGTAAGCTACAACCTGGCGCTACGCGCAAGAGAACAGGCCTGGCGGGTACCTTTGAGAAGCCCGAGCTGACGACCCAGCGCGATGGCCTCATCGAGCACCTGGATGACCTTGAAGCCGAGGTCCAGTCGCTGCTCCCTCTCCTGGATGAAGAAGTTAATTCATCCACAAGATTCTTGGAATTGATGAGCGTAGGAGAAGGAAGGTACCTCAGGTGACGAAGGCAGCGGCTGCTGGAAGCGCTGACGCACTACTTCGAGCACGGTTCGGCGTGACACATCGGGATGGAAGAAGCGCAGCTGCTTTGATCCCAGAAATTCATCATACACTTCATCCATCGGCGTTGTGGGTGTTGTCTCTGCTGGGGTCGTGTCGGCATCGTCATCACCTTCACTGGTTGTGGATGGCGCCGCACGAGGGGCAGTGCGGCGGTAGATGAGTGCGTTGAGCGCCGGTTCGTGCTCAAAGGTGCGCGCCGAGCACACCAGGGCCTTGTACAGCGTGCGCACCAACCTGCGCTCACTCCCCTGGCACACGGCACCAGTTGCTGCCTTTGCACTGGATTGCATCTTCTTCCTATCGCAAGCACCCGATCAAGTATTGTTTTTTCTTTTTCTTTTTTTCTTACTATTTATATTTTCCTCTTTTAATACAAAAAATGGTAAATAAAGTACAAAAAAAGCTACAACGCGGCAGCTGTCTGGCGCTGTCGGCGCTCCTGGATCTGGGTCAGCAGCTGGTCCCACATCCTCTTCTCCCCCTGGCAAACCGCCAGCGCGGCCCTGGCGTTCGCCCCGAGCGCTCGCGACATCACGTGCTCTGCATCGATGCATTCACACATTTTCACGGCAATCAGCGTGGCCGCGCAGCGGTGTGGCAGAGTGAGTGGTATATAAATACCTGGATAGCTCGCCCGTAGCTTTCTCACGTTGCTCTCCAGCAGCCGGAGCGCGGCGAGCTCGTTGCGTCGCGAGACCCGGGAGGGCAGTCGCTGCCTGCCCTGCGCACTCTGCTCCAGCAGCGCATCCAGCTCCTGCTCGGTGGCCACCGTCACCCGGAACGCCGCCAGCAGGTGCTCGGGGAACTCCCCCAGCGCTGGCGGCCCCACGAAGAACTGGTCTCGGTCCAGGTCGTGCGCCCTCAGTAGGCCCCTCTTTCGTGGCGACGCGGACGAGGAGTGGGTCATGGGGAAGACGACGGCGTCGTGAGGGTTATTCTCGAGCACGAAGCCGTAGTCCATGAGGAGCTGGGCGTTGCTCATCTGCCTGGACTGTCCGTAGGCGACGAATATCTGTTCGCCCTTCTTGATTGGGCTGCGCGCCGAGTAGATCAGATGATGGTCGACAGCATCGACTGCGACCTTGACCTGCTCGGTTTCCGGCGCCATGTTGAACATGTCCGCCTGACGAGTATAGATAAGTAAACTATCATAGAAAGCTACATATATAGTGACTATATGAAGATAGAGAGCGCAAGTGAACGGATGCAGCAGACGAAGCGAAGGGATGAGCACCCAGGGAACGAGCCCTCTCTTCCCCTCATCGACCACGAACGACCGGGACCAGATCACTGAGAGCGCCCACTTCCACGCATCGAGCGAAAACTGCTCCGGTGCGAAGTGCTCGGGGTAGTCCTGCAGGATACCTTGCCCGAGTCAGCGAGCGCAGAAAGAACGAAAACGAAAACGAAAGCGAAAGCGAAAGCGAAATAGAAAGAGAGTGAAAGCGAAGACGAAGGGAGGGGGGGGGGTATTTGCACGCGCACATACCACAAATAGCGGCGTAAAGATGGTGTCGTACTGTGACTCGATCGCCCTTCGCCGCTGACGCGCGAAATCTGAACGCGTGCGAGAAAGAGGGTCAAGCTTGCGCTGTTGCCCCCCCCCCGCCACGAAGACAAAAACTACGCACGGTGAAGCGACGAGCCCTCGAGATAGCTCAACTCGTCATCGGAGAAGAAGAGCGTGGTGGAGAATGTCGAGGGCAAGACATCTGCGTACGTGAGTGGTGGAGGTAGTTAGCCATCTTCTGCGCACGCACGCACGCACACCGCCGATGGCTGGAACCATCATCGCTACACGTCACGCCTTGCGTCGTGGATGATGGGTCCCGGTCGTACCGATGTAGCGCTGCCAGGGCGAATTTGGGTCGTTCTTGTGGACCAGCAGAAGGAGCGCGTTCTCGTTGGTCGCCGACAGCGGGAACTCCTCGCTTGGCCGGAGAGATGACAGCACAGTGAGCGATCAACATCGAGCAGGTCCTCCACCGAACCCGGCGTGGGGGGAAGCGCGCACTCAAGTATTCGGCGTATCTCGGGAGCAGCGGTCGCCAGCGGGGCGTCGGCACTGTCGACCACGAGCGAAAACGGGACCGAGAGCAGCGTTTCGCCTGTCTGTCACGACACCATCAATATCAACGAACACGCACGCATGAGCACATACGTGTGTGTGTGTGTGTGTGTGGAGTGAGGGAGGCAAGGTACGGCGATGTCGTGCGCGGCTACGACGGAGCGGCCGAATGTGGGAAGAGTCCGGAGCTGCACCCCCGCGTGGCGCGATCCGCCCTGTTCCGCGAACCACGCCTCGAACGCGGCCCAGCGCTGTGTCTCCTCCCCGTCTCCCTCTGGTGGCGAGTCACCAGCCCCCACCCAAGCTGACGCCGTGCGATTGTTCATTTTTTCGTAAAAAACGAATAGAGCAAGAGGAGAGGGGGAGGTGTACCAGGGCGAGTGAGTAGTACCAACCCGACGAGAACTGCACAGCAAGAGCGAAGGTCCATCTTGCTTCTTTCGCTTTTTCGTTCTTTTTAATGTCGTTGATTTCACTGTTTTTTTCTTTTCGTTTCTTCCTCGGGTGTGTTCCTTCATGTGCGGCAGTGGAATTTCGCGTTCGTGTAATGTTTGGGGAACGGCCTTGGTTTCGTTTCATTCTCTTGTTTCAGGTGAAGGAAGGAGAGTCAACCTCCCGCTCTGCCTACGTGACCCACCTTCTTCCCGCTGCCCCCACTGCTTAGCGCCTTCAGGTTGACATGAACAAGCTCAAACGACCCCACGGCGAATCACTTGCTAGGTAACCTCTTCTTTCTTCATTTATATTAAAATCAATATATAATCAATTCTTAGAAGATAAATTATTTTATTAGCATTTTTTCACTCTGCCATTATTTTAGAATTTATTCTTATTTTTATTCTTGTTGGTTGCGTGAAGGGCGCCGGCGGAAGCACGGTGGCAGCCGGCGGAGAAGGAGCAGCCGGACGAGCGCGAGCACTACCACCACCCCCGCCCGCAGCGCTCCTCCTTCAACCTGCCGCCGCCGCCGACGAGAGGCGGCATGCGCGGGGGTGCGAGGGGCCGCGGCGGCGGGGGACGCGGCCAGCCAAGCTTCCGCGGCGCCGTGCCCGTCGTTGCGGCGCCCACCACTCCCCACCAGGCGGTGCCCGGGCCGGCGCAGCAGCAAAAGAAGAAGAAGAAGGCCGCGAAGAAGAAGCCCACCCAAGCGGTGGTGCCGCCGAGTAACGCCTTCGACCAGATCGCGCCCCAGAAGACTCTCTATGTCCTCAACGATGACTTGTACTCGGGCCCTCCGCTCTCCTTCTTCTCCTTGGCCACCAGGTCTAACAGTCGTGTCATGTGTCGTGCGCCGTGTGCCGTGTGTGCCGTGTGTGCCGTGTGTGCCGTGCAGCGAGAAGAAGCGGCCTGATCGTCTCACGTGCACCTTTGCCAGCGTTCATGGTATGTCGGTGGAGACGTGCGCACGCGTGGTTCTGTCACTGGCACTCACACTCAAAACGACCGCACACGCACGACACACATGCGACACGCACCACCGCACACGCATAGGTTTCAAGTACAGGAAATACACGACGGCGCCGAAGGTGGTGAAGCCGATCGAGCTGCTGCAGATCTACAGCGACCGACAGGCCCAGGCCCTGCAGGACATGCTCGAGGAGCTGGCCCTCATCGAGGCCGAGGCCCAGAGCCGCGAGAAGGGCAAGGAGAAGCTCGACCCCAGCGACCGCGGGCACCACGCGGTCGGCGATGGCAGCGACGACGAGGGCGACGCCGACATGCAGGAGGTGGTCAAGGAGCTGGTCATGGACCTCGAGGCCCTCAACAGCGGCAAGGCCGTGCAGCTCGAACCCGAATTCGACGCACCCGCGTCCCACTTTTTCGTCGCGGCCGGTATGACATATCATCTCATTTCGTTCTTTGTTCGTTCTTTTGCTCACCACACACACACACCACACGCATGCGTGACAGACCACATGCCACGCAATTCTGGACACGCGGCGAAGCCGGTGTTCTTCGAGGCGGTGGAGAACAACACGGCCGACGGCGGTGATTTTAAGGTGGCGGACCAGCCGCACGCGCAGGGCAGCCTCTTCTGGGACACCTCCGCGGCCTCCAACAAGCAGCCGCACCCCAAGCAGCAGGCCCTGAGCTTCGGCCCCGCGCGGCCTGACATCTTCTTCAAGCCCTCGGCCGGCGCCAAGCCCTCGCCCAAGTCCCAGCAACAGGCCACCTCCACTAATGGTGCGAGTCCCCCACAAAAGCGCAGCTCATTCCTTCAATCCTTGACTGACTCGTGTGCGTTGTGTGCGGTGCGTGTGATGTGTGCGGTGCGTGCGGTGCGTGCGGTGTGTTTCTAGGAATGGAGGACGAGGACGTGCGGGAGTTGTGCGAGCTGGAGCGGCTGCTGCGGGACGGCTTCATCACGCGTGAGCAGCACAGGGAGCGCGCCGCGCAGCTCAAGGAGGCCATCCGCGTGCGCAAGGCGCTGGCCAAGCAGCGCAAGGCCGAACGCAAGCGCGAGCAGGAGGCCGAGGAGAAGCTGTGGGAGGAGCGCGACCGCAAGCTCATGCTCGAGCGCCGGGAGGAGGAGATGAAGCTCAAGGAGCAGAAGAAGAAGGAACTCACGCGCGCCGTGCTTCAAGGTTCGCCTAACCCTAGCCGCCACCTTAACACACTCGGCCACCACCTTAACAGGCACCTGTGTGTGTTGTGTGTGTCGTGTGTCGTGTGTCGTGTGCGATAGATTTCTTGGAGGGCAGGCTGAGCCCCAAGGAGCTGGCGGGGCAGATCAAGAAGGGGGTGGTGACGGTGGAGCAGCTGCTGGGCCTGTGGAAGACCGAGCTCCGGCCCCTGCGTCTGGAGGACTACTACACGCAGCCCTCCGCCGTCGCGACCACCCCGCTCGGCCCCTCCAAGCACTCCAAGATCATGACCGACGTCATGGTACTCGTCGACACACACGACACACACGACACACGTGTCTCACTCCTCTCTTTCTGTGCGTGTGTTGTATCGTGTGCGGTGTCGACAGTATTTGCTGCAGATGAGCGATCCGACGAAGCAGTTCGGGAACACGATCCAGCCGGCGGCGCTCCCGCAGACGCCGGAGGTGCTGCACAAGGTGGAGAAGATCGCGGCGCACAATCCGGGACTCGTCCGCAAGTTCGCGCACTACATCCACACCGAACGCGAGATGCGGACCGAGTGGCAGCGCAACGTGCAGGAGCGGCTGCAACTCGCCGTGTAGCCTTTGTATGTAACACCAA